CCCCCCCCCGGCTCCAGCGGCGCAGCTTGAGCGACTCCCAGCCGCCGGGCACGCCAAGTCTCCCCCCCAATGGCCAGAGCATTCCCTGTGCATGCGCAGGGAACGCTCTTTTACTTTTGGGAAGATTTAAGTATCCCCTGTATATTTTTTTCAACTGTTTAGATTTTTCTGCACACCTGGAGACTGCTCCGAGTGTGCAGGAAAATCTCCCTGCCCCCCAAGTGCCCCCGATGTGCGGATTTAGATATGCGGATTTAGTTGATGTGAGTGATTACTCTTGTCTTGACCTCCTTTCTAACCCCACCTCAAGGGAGAAAGGTGCGTCATCCTGTCAGGAACAGTTGGATCAATTCCGGAAGCTGGTTGGATCCATCCGGAAGTGGCTGAAAGAAACTGAAAGGAATCTCCCAACCACCGAAACCTCTCTGGGCACCCACGAACTGGAGAAGCGACAGCAGCAAGTTGAGGTGGGTTGAGAGTGAGGTTGGGAACCCTGTGTGAGTGGGGCGGGGAATATGTCCCATCAGGTGGCACAGGGCCTACCACGTCCAGGGAGGAAGAGCCAGAGTGGGTTGGCTGAGGGCTGAGCTTCACTGTGACCCGTCTCTAGCAAGATCTGGAGCCTCTTGGCAGAGAAGGTTGTCTGGCTTCCTCCAGAGCTGGTCTTTGGGGGTCACCGTTGCTCTTTGTGGGCATCCTGTAGGCAAGACTGTTGTGTCCTCTGGCTTGTTTCCACTGGAAACAAACAAACAAATCACAAATCTGCCCCCAAGGAAGGATGAATTCTGAGATCTGTGTAAATATATTTCTATCAATGTGCTTAATTTACACCATATATCCTGCTTCTGGTATCCTTTGAGAGGAGGGGAAAAGATGTGCATTGCAGTCATTCTCCCCACCCACCCCGAACATTATAAATCCTGTGAGTTCATGTGCACCCTACATTGCTGTGGGCTTCTGAGATTTTGCTAGGCATTGGCCATGGCATTCAGGCCTACGTCATATCCTTCAGAGCTAGAAAAATTCCTATTTAAATGAAAGCTGAAGTTCTCTGGGTGTAGAATTCTTTGCCCAGCCATTCCGTGCATGCTTCTGCAGCAGAACTGAGAAAATACACATTACATGGACCTTTGTGTATGCCTCAAGTCCTGACATCTGACTGTATTCCATTGCTAGTTCCTCTTGGATGAATGGATGGAAAAGGGAGCTCTCGTGAGGGATATCAACTGCAGAGGGACAGCCTTGGAGAGCTTGATCGTTGAGATCACAGCTCCTGATGCACAATCCAAAACAGGTGAGACACACACCCCTCCAAAACTGCTTCAGTACTTCAGGTAGAGCTGTTTTTTCTTGATGAGTTATCCTGGTTTCAGTTGTTCATGAGATAGAACTTGTGCAAGCACTGCAGTGTGGATTTGGGGGCAGGGGTGGGTGAGAGACAGACAATCAAGGGCTTGCCATGTATTGTGCAGAAACTTGTGGGGTGGAGTGGATGAGCCGTCATGTTCAGTATAGGTTTCCTGTTTGGTTTTTGTGAATATCTGAAGGACGTCTGGGGCAGAGAACTATTGTTTAGTGGTAGATGATCCCAGGCCCAGTTAGGAGAATTTCAGAGAACTTCCCCTCTTTGCCTTAAGAGCCTGGATAGTTGCTTCTGGTCAGAGTAGAGCAGCCCCGTAGCCAGGATTTTCTGGCTTATGGGACAAAAAATGTTCTGGTGGAGCTGGCATTATTTTCCATAATGAAGGGGGGGTGGCACCCCACTCCCTCCCCTCCAGCAAGATTAAAAGGCCCCTCCAACTGATTGGTAGGCCAAGTACTCCCTGCTGATCAGCTAAAGGGCCCTTTAAATCTTGCAGGAAGGGAGGGAGAGGGGCATGTGCCACCCCCTTCTTCTCAAAAGCATTTAAATGATCCCTTTAAAAGCTTTTGAAGAAGCGGGGGGCTCTTTAAGGAAGTGGGCTGGCCCTTTAAGGAAGGGGGTAGAGCCCTCAATAGCCCCACCTGTCAGACTCCTGCAACAATCAGAATCAACAACTTGCTTCTTCAGAAGGAAAGTTTATTGATAGAGTATTGGCAAAGCATCTCTACTTCAAGTTCTGTGTTAAGACTAAAGCAAAAAGCGTGGGGTAAATGGATATACACGATTCAAAGGGGTCACTGGGCGGCATGGAGCCAATCAAGGCAAAGGACGGGGCTGCCAGAATGTAACGGCCCCACATTCCCAGAGATGGTGTTACAGCTAGGAACCAAGGTCAGGCATATAAAACATACAGATAAGGGAGCATCACCCAGACAGGCAGAGAAAAAAAACTAAAACATTCCAAGCAGCCTTCCCCCCGTCCAATACCAGCCTCTATGGCAGTGAGCTGACACCACCATAGCTACACGCCAGGACTGAAAACAGTACTGGCTTCGGAACTGGAGGTCTGGACTCTGTATAAGGCAGCTTCCCGTAATGTGAAATCCACTTTTCTTGCTGCCTGGAGCAGACACTGGTTTGCTTCCTTGTCCAGCAACTGCCAATGGCTTCTGCAACAAAACGCTGAACATCTTCCTAAATTTCAGAGCTGTCTGATACCACATATAATAATAAAGTGCTGTTAAATTGCAACTGGCTTAAGACAACCATTCATGGGATTTTCAAGGCAAGAGATGAGCAGAGGTGGTTTGCCATTGCCAGCCTCTGCATAGCAACCCTGGTCTTTCTTGGTGGTCTCCCACCCAAGTGCTAATTGTGGCCAGTCCTGCTTAGCTTCCAAGCAGTAGATCAGCTAGATTCAAGTCCAGTAAGCACCTTAGAGACACACAAGATTTTCAGGGTGTGCCCTGACCTGGATAGCCCCGGCAGCCCTGATCTTGTCAGCTCTGGGAAGCGAAGCAGGGCTGACCCTGGCAAGTACTTGGAAGGGTGACTTCTAAGGAATACCAGGGGCAGGCTGATCAAGCCACCTCTCTGGAAAACATCCAAGCCCTTGGTAGGGTTCACCAGAAGTCAACCATGACTTCCAGGCAAGCACACAAAACACACGCACACAAATGTTTTTTTAAAAAGATGTTTACGGTGTGAACTTTCAAGAGTTTAAACTCATACCCTGGAAATCTTGTTGGTTTCTAAGGTAGTGTATTATTCTAAACTGAATTTCTTTCAGCTCAGTAGCATTAGAAAGTTAACAACCAATTTATTTAAAGACGGGATCAATCATCCTTCCTCTCCACCACCAGCTTGCGCCTCCTGGGAGCTTTCAGATTTGTTCCTGTAGCTCTAGCCCATAAAAGCTTGTGCTAGAAGAAAAATCCTGTTAGTCTTCAAGGTGCCACAAAGCTACTGTTTGTACATGATGGGCCTGTTGCAGCTATCTCTCTAGAATTGGGGCACTGAGACCTCTCTGAAGGTGTGCCTTTGTAGTACCCGCCCAAAAGCATCCCAGCTGGGGCCACAATTGTGATCTTTTTTGCGGTCAATTTAAAACCATCTTGGGAATTTCAGTGGGAGGAAGTTTTACTTTTCACTTCCTTTCTTTAAACCTCTTTGGGGGACGGTGACATCACAGCAGCTGTTGTGTTCCCTCTCTGGAGGTGGCTGGATTGCAGAGAGAGAAGCATGCAAGGTACCATGTGGGAAGGGGAAGAGACCCATTGGATGGTTTTCCAAACTGTAGAACAAGAAGAAAATAAACAGGAATGCTTCTGGGATTGGACTAGGGCGTTCTGAAACATGAGAAGCCTCCATAGGGTTCAGCATGGAATATTAAGACTAAGGTTCCTGTCCAGACCAAACCCCTAATGAGGATTTTAGTGAAGGATACTTCTGTGACCTTGTTAATAACAACAACAACAACAATAATAAAAGTGCCATCAAATCACAACCAATTTATGGTAAACCCTTCAGGGATTTTCAAGACAAATGATAAACAGAGGTCGTTTGCCATGGCCTTCCTCTGCCTAGCAACCCTGGACTTCCTTGGTGGTCTCCCATCGAAGTGCTAACCACAGCTGACCCTGCATAGCTTCCAAGTTCTGACACACTCGGGTTAGTTTGGATTATTCAGGCTGCCGTGGCCTTGTTATGGGGGGGACGGATCCTTGTATCTTCTTTGTGGTCTCTTTGCATTCACACCTCTGGGATATAGTGCGCCTGCGCCAACCTCGATTGATTCCTCTTGAAAGCGAAAGGGATTTCCGTGCCCGCCCCCTCGTCACACGCCGGCCCCACTGAGCATGACTAAGGGAGGGGCACAACAATCCCTCCAGTTCTCTTCTGAACACCGCGCTGGTAATCTTCTCCACTTCGGTCGGTAAAAAAATTGGGCTCTAGGCCTGTTCCTCGTTTTTTCTTTTTGTTTATTTGTTAAGTGAAAGGACTTTGTTTCTACGGATTTGTTTCCTTGGACTCTGTAGTGTGTCCTCCCGGGGGCCTATGGCCAAGAGGTGGGGTTTCTTTTACGGTGCCTTTGTGCGGCAGTAAAGACCCCCCCCCCCAAGATGCACACTCACTTTGTTTTTTCGTGCCTCAGGGAATTGCACTGAGTGGACTCTTCTGCTCCTTGTGTAAAGTTCTCTAGCAGACGAGGAAGAACAGAGCTGCCAGACTTCGTGTTGTGTTTCGAAGTTCGCACTTTCACCGATGTCGTCAGGACACTTCAGGACATGCGTCAATGTCGACTGCCACTTAGGCATCAACGGGTTCCTGATACCGATGCATATCGATGTCGACCGCCCGATGCATACGCTTGGCCCAGATATCTTCGTCCGATGCCTATTCTCCCTCCATAATGCAGGGAAGGCAAGGACGCTCAGCCAGTCAGGCTAAAAGAGCATAAGACAACTCCCCCTGTGCAAACTCCGCTGACCCCTCGGAGGGCCACGGCATTGAATCCTACAGGGGGCTGCTTCACTTGACTCTCTGTGCTGAGAGCAGCCACAAGGTGCACTTCGGTCGCCTTCGCTGCATCCTATCCAGTTCGCTGACAGAGCAGGATATGGACGTCTCACGGCGTTGACGGGTTCCCGATACCAACGCATATAGATGTTGACCGCCCGATGCAGAGCAGGATATGGACTTTTTGCAGATCTCCTGGTCCTCCAGTGTCGAAAACTGGCACTCCGACCACAGAGCCGAAGCCTTTTGTCCGTCCGTCACTGCCCGAGCTGATGATCGAGAACAGCCATCGGCACCGATACACCGCCACTGCCGCCCCCGGGAAGGGGCTGTGGCGATACTGGTATGGGGCCTACCCCTTTACAGGCGATATGCTGTGGTTCCCACCCCCACTAGGGAATGGGACCGTCAGTCTACCCTCCTGGTATTGAGATCCTACTTCGACACCGGAGTTTGTGAGGCCCCAACCATCGAGGGTGACGGGCAAACCTCCCAAGCCGTCACACCCAGCTATTTCTAATTTTAAGATCCATCGATTCCGACTCCATCGGTACTGATGCTGCCTATGTCTTTTCTGAGTCATCTGAGCTCTCTGCTTCTCCACACGCTTCCTTCCAATGAAGGGACGAAAACCCCGATCCTCCATTGGAACCTGCACCACCTTAACAAGTGGGCGGTGATCTCCCAGTTTCCCTTTTGCCGAATGGATGGCTAACATGCTTACTCTGTCTGCAGGGCAATCTATGTCCACTGTGACAGATTCCGTGTTCGATACTGTCCAGATGGTCACCTCTACCCAGCATTTACTCTCATCTCGAGCTGGAGGGTAGATCATGCCATGTAAGGTGCAGGAGCAGGGTGCTAAACGTCTGTTTACCCACCTTAACCCTATTCTGTCATAGCACCTCTTCCTTCAAAGGTAGACACAGTCATTTGTTTACAAGAGTTTTCAGCATCGAGACCTCAATCTACATGGCATTTATGGGGAGTTATCAGTCTGCTCTCTGGGAACAGATGTATTAATTTCTTGTTACCCTCCCTGATGCCTCTAACCGTCTGGCTTGCAGGTTTCAAAGAAGGGAATGCTTCTGATTAAGCATCAGCTTAATGCGGCTCAGCACACGTTGGATGCGGCCGCCAAAAACATTACTTCCGCAACCACCCTCCGACCCCTGACCTGGACAGCCCGGGCTACCCTGATCTTGTTAGAACTTGGAAGTGAAGCAGGATTGGCCCTGGTTAGTATTTGGATGGGAAACTACCATGGCATGCCAGGGTCACTACACAGAGGCAGGCAATGACAAACCACATCATGCCTGGTTGCGTTTTACTGCCCTTCCGCAGAACCTTCCATTCAAAGGTGAGAGCCTTTTCAGCACCACTACTAATACGGCCCTGCAAGACACCTGTAACAAAAATACAGGTGTTGGGCAATTTAGGAGTCACGTCATCTCCGGAAATACAGTGGAATTGCTCATCCACTGTGCCTTCGCGCCCTTATGGGCACACATAAAATTTGTTCTCTCAGCTTGTGGCTGAGACTTCGACAGTTTCCAAGCAAAGCCTTTGACTCCTGTACCCCTTAGAATTTGTCCAGGCACCTCTGGCCCCAACTTCATAATTAATCCACCATCCACTACGCTTCTGGAAGGAATTCAGAACCTTCTTCAAAGGGCGCTACAGAACCAGCTCTGATGGCTCAACATCAGCACAGGTTCTACTCCTGTTCCTTACGGTCCCCATAATAGGACAGAGGAGCCCGTCTTGTTATGGATCTCTGAGGACTCAACCAGTTTATCTCCTATCGGGAATTCTGTATGGCAACATTATTACATCTCCTTCCCTTCTTTGTGAAGTTGTTGGATGGTGACCCTGGACTTGCCGGATGCATATTCTCATATGAATATCCACCCATCTCACAGGTTGTTTTGCGTCTTGCAGTCGCGGAGGGCTTTTTTCTGTACAAAGCCCTCCCTTTTGGGCTCTCGACAGTGCCCACAGTCTTTACAGACATTACACTTGTCATCACGGCATACCTCCTCCTTCAGAGTATACGGATCTTTCCGTTCGGAGACAATTGGTTGTTGGTAACAAGCTCCAAAGAAACCCAGTTCCCCAGTCTCTATGGTTCTTGCTACCTGTGCACGGGCTGATTTTCCTAACATGGGAAACTCCAGCTCCAGCCCTGAACTGACCTTACCACGGATGCATCCCTGTGGGGATGGGGGAATTCAAACCCAAGGTTTGTGTGTGGGTGCCGAATGGGAACCTCGTGTGGCCTACAATCACCTCAGTGTCCTGGAACTGATCGCTGTCCAGTATACACTAGGTCTTTTCGCCACCTTGGGGCCCACCGTACGGTGGCAAGCCTGGAGACAACACCACCGCACCGTGTTGCCTGTCCACTGGCCTGGGAGATGTGGACCGAGTGTCAATCCCGGGACATGTTCCTCACTGTCACTCACCTGCTAGGATCACTCTAGGTGTAGGCAGACGTGCTGAGCAGGGGAGGTGCATCCCTCCACGAGTGGGAGCACAGTTGGGCTTACCTACGACCGGTTTGCCACAGGTGGGATCAGCCAGGAATCGATGCGTTTGCTACGCATCAGAACGCCATGTGTCGTCTGTCTGTTCCAGGGCAGGACGGGACCCAGTGTCTCTGGGGGACAGCCTTCTGTTCCCATGGTCTCATTGGCATGTTTACCTGTTCCCACTGATCCTTCTACTTACCAGAGTGCTCAGCAAGATCGTGAAGAAGCAACCTGACATGGTGACCATGTCAGCACTGGTTCCCTACTCTACTCCGCATGTCCCGGGGCACATACATATCTTTAACCCCGGGCACCGGATCTCCGCCTGGCTCAGGAGAGCAGAGTGCTTCACACTGTACCACACCTCGAGCTCATAGCATGGAGGATTCCCTAGCACTGCATTAGCAGGATTGACCTAGTCCTGTCGAACCGTTGGCAGCCAGCTATACGCACTGCCTTTGAACGGAAGTGGAAGAAGCTTTTGCTTTGCCTTGAGTCATTGGGTTTATCAACACCCCCTTCGGGCTTCAGGGTACTCTTCAGATTAGTGTTGACCCGCCTGGAGTTGGGTCTTAGTTGCTTTTCTTTAAGAACCATTTTGGCCACCACCTACACGGTTATTCCATTTTTTCTCACTTGCAAGCAAGGCAGTTCTAACGGGTTTCACTCGGCTCTTTCCTCTGGCTAGTGGGCTGACTCCCTTCTGGGTCTTACATCTAGTGCTGTCCAGACCAACACACAACTGTTTTGAGCCCATGGCCAAGTCTAGTCTGCAGCTTCTCTCGTGGAAGACTGTTTTTCCTTGTAGCCATTACTTCAGCATGTTGAGTGAGAATATTGTCTGCACTCCATTGTGACTCTCTGTATTGGTTTTTCTACTTGATGGTGTCACCTTGGCCTCGGATGTCTCTTTCCTGCCCAGGGTTGTTCCGAGCTCTACTTGCGAGCTTGCATTGCTCTTCTGATGTTTTCCCGTTCCCTACAAGTGACGATGAATGCCGGCTTCATGCTCTGGATGTTTAGCGAGCTACACTATTCTACCCTGATGGAACAAGGTTGTTCTGTCAGTCACCGGCCTTGTTCGTCTTTAATAGCCCACCTGTGCGAAGAAGAGGTTTCCTCGCAACATCTATCTAGGTGAATTGTGGAACCATCTACTGTGTTACTTTCTGGCCAAACGGCTACTCCAGGGCCCATTCCAAGCACTTACCATTGGGCAGCAGGCTTGCTACAGCCTCCCTGGGAGGTCCGCCGCTCACTGACATTTGTCAAACAGTAGCATGGGTCACCCCTCCCCACACACACACACTTGTGAAGCTTTACACGCTTCATTAACACTCTGTGGTAGGATGGGCAGTGTTGCAGGCAGCGCAAGTCTAGGACCTTCAGCTCCCTCCTCCGGTGGGCTTGTTTAAAGGTAAAGGTTCCCTTGCTCGAAAGCCAGTCAAATCCGACTCTAGGGTTGTGGTGCTCATTTCCGTTTCAAAGCCGAAGAGCCAGCGCTGTCTGAAGACATTTCCGTGGTCATGTGGCTGGCATGACTAAACACCAAGGTGCACAGAACTCTGTTACCTTCCCACTGAAGTGGTACCTATTTATCTTGTTTACTGCTTGCTAATCTCCCAGAGGTGTAATGGACAGAGACCACAAAGAAGATAAACAGGTTGCTTAGCTCTAACTGAGGATCTTTGAGTGGTCATCTGTGCATTCACACCACATGCCCTCCTTCCCCTCTGCTTTTGGTCCTCTCCTCTTGTTTTACTCTGAGACTGATGGCAGCGGTCAGAAGGAACTGGCGGGATTGTTGTGCCCCTCCCTTAGTCATGCGCAGTGGGGCCGGCGCGTGACAAGGGGGCAGGCACGAAAATCCCTTTCGCTTTCAAGAGGAACCGATCGAGGTCGGCGCAGGCACACTATATTCCAGAGGTGTGATTGCACAGATGACCACTCGAAGATCCTCAGTTACAGGTAAGCAATCTGTTTTTCTGGGTTTCTCTTTTTGTGTGTAAAGAACTCCTTTTAAGTAGGGGGGAAAACAGGGGAAAAGTTTCTGACGTTCTGTTAAAAGAGGTTGCTATTTCTTATTGGACCGACTTTGGATGTCACTCTGTTCTTCATCCACCTGGAGAGAATGGGAGCAATATTTCATGTTAGTTTAAAAGCACATAACCCTATCCCTCACACAACCCACTGAGGAGAGACTTGCAAGTACAGCTACTGTTTCTGGGGGTGCTTGGAAACCAGCAGCTCTCTGCTCACTGGACTGGGCTCATGTAGCACTTGTATGTATCTTGACTTGGCAGTGGCGCTTAGGAGACCAAATGTCGTGAAATGTTGTGTCGTTTTGTTCTGTGCTAGCTTTGTTTCATGACTGTGGTTTGTTCTTTCGAACATACCTGTCAACCCCAGCTGGATTCTGACCTGATTTATGCATTACCTTAGCAACGTAGTAGTTGCCAAAAAGCTGCTTCTGCATAGCTGGCAGACATAAGGTCACTGCTCTATCAAGATGGTTTCTGTCTCCATGGAAGTAGTTCTTTGATATCTACCTCGTTGCCTAGGTAACATAAACTGGGCCTCAGACTAAGAGCTGAGATGAGGAAGTCACCACCAACGAGGGTTGTTCCAGGAAAGGTTGCAAGGCATTGCTGCCAAGAAGGCAGCTTGCCTGTCTGCACATGGCCTTGATCATACGGAAACTTCATGGAACTGCATCTGCTCCAGTGCACTGCCTCTGTTCTGCTGTTGTGATAGATGGCAGAGCTCCTAGGGCGCTTTCCCCATCTGGAGTGGAGGGTTTCTCTCCCACCCAGTTCCTGGAAGCAGGAGGTCCTGTGATAGGAAACCATCTCCAGTGTCCTCCAGGTGCCACACTTTCTGCTGGTGGTGTGAAGGCAGCATGGCACAGAGGCTTTTTCATGCGCCTCTGCATGATGATGGCGACTTCCAGGCCAGCCCCCTGTCCTGAGGCAAAGGATCTTTCCCAGGGAGCAGTTCATTTTTTCAGTTGGTCTAACTTTGCCTCTCTGCCCTCCTGGGCAGTGGTCTAGTTGCAAAGGATGCTGCGTGGCTGTAGGTTTTTTTTACTGTCTGTATCGCTAACATGTTTGTCTCTGTTCTGTCTGTCTCTGTGTCTGTCTCACTTAGGTTCTGTGGTGCCCACTGCAGGAAGTTCTGTAGGCAGTGTGAATGGATATCACACCTGCAAAGGTGAGAGAGCCAAGCCTGGTGTGTGTGTGTGTGTGTGTGTGTGTGTGAGTGTGTGTGAGTGTGTGTGTGTGAGTGTGTGTGTGTGTGTGAGAGAGAGAGAGAGAGAGGATCTCTTGACGGTGGTGCCACACCAATTTCTCAAAAGAACAAGACAGCAGGAGTAGCAGTAAATGTGATTGTCACAACATAAAAATAGTTTAATAAGTTATGTAACACAAAGTTCAAAAATCTGAATAAGTAGAAATTAATTAGAATCATCCTTGACTGTAAGGATATACAGATGATAACCCTTAAAGTCAATAAGTAAATAGAACTATAAAATAAACAGCAGCTGACACCCTCAACTTCCCCACTCCCACAAATCCACTTGCATTTGGCATGAGCCACTTTCATCCCCCTGCCCTCTAAAATAGCCACTGAAGCCTGGCCAGCATTATATAGCCTTCTTAGAAGGAATTTGTTTAATAGGGTTAGATAAAGTTATTTCAATTTGGTATGCCAAGGCATTACAGAACCTTCAGATGCCATGTCAGATTAATGGGGAGGTAGTCAAGGCCAAATCCTGTCGTTGGGCCTTTTTCTGAATGGAAACTGGGCTTTGAGTTTCAGTAGAACTCATAGTGTCCACACCATCCAAGGCAAACAGCTAGTATGCTTGTAAAGGCAGAGGGAGAATTGCATGGATCAGTCTAGTAAGTATATTGGAGGAAAAGGTCATCCTGAAGAGCCAAAATGGTGTTCAGGGTTTTCTTCCACCACCGTCACCCCCAGACTCCTCTTCTGTCCAAGGAAATATTTGCCCTCAGATCAACCCTTGGCAAACTTTCCTGTCCCAATTAAACAAGACAGCAAATACACATCCCCAGTTTTTTTAAGTCTGCCCACTGTTCCTTAGCAAAAGATGGCAGGATTTAAAGCAAATATTGAGAATTTCAGAAAGGAAGAAAAATCTTTGCTATGCAAGATGACTATATTGAAAGAGGCTTGCACCTTCAGAAGGTCTCTCAAGCTCTATCTCTATATTCATTGAGTCTTTTCTCCAAGCAGTGGTATCTTACTCAGGGGCCCAGCTGACAAGTAATTTGGAACCACCTTCCCTGTTGTTGCCCTTGCAAGTGGGGAGTTTGCTTTGTATATAAAGTGTTAACTGTGTGGGAATGAGAAACACCCTGCTGAAAGACCCAGTAGGGAGTTCCTGAGGCCATGTTTTGTCTTAGTTAATGTGAAAACGTCACTAGACTTTCACCTTTGCACCAATGCCAGGTAATGTGACTAAACAACATCCTCAACGCACATTTGATTTCTTTTTTGGCTTAGATTTGACCGAGATCCAGTGTGATGTGTCAGATGTGAACCAACAGTATGAAGGGCTTGGTGCTGCTCTACAGGAGCATCAGGAAGAGCTGTCTGCCATGTTGGCAAAGATGAGAGGTGCCCAGGAGGAAGCAGGTTCAGTACTGAAGTGGCTGGAGTCAAAGGAGCAGGCCTTGTCGGCACTTGAAGCGTCTTCCTCACCCACGAAGTCAGAGACTGTGAAAGCTCAGGTGGATTGTAACAAAGTACGCAGCTATTTATTTGTACCTTTGTATTCCTCCTCCTCACCTAAGTGGATCATGAGAAGAAGGAGCTTCTTTTGGAGAATACCACATGAACACTTAACACAGCTTTGGCCCATGGCATACACTACATGAGGCTGATCTGGCTGGTAGTGGTGTGCAAAGCTGCTGTTTATAATCATTCTCTGCCCTGATTCTGGGGTGGAACAGTCTTCAATTGAAGGGTCTACAGTCAGGGCCTTGAGCAAAGAGATGCTAAGGGAAGAAGGAAAGATCAGTAGAAGCCTAGGTGGCAGTTTTTGGCTAGCTAAACCCTTTCTGACAACAGTTCTTCTTTCTGCCTCTCTGTGCCCCTGCCTTAGATTGTGTTGGGTTGGGAGAAAGCCTGACCTTGGGGGATAGCGGGTGAAGGCTTGCCCCATGGGAGGAGAATCCTTCTGAGGCAATGTGGTTGATAACCAAAGGTGGGGAAGGCTTCAGTACGTGCTCTTTTGGGGGCCTACTGAGCCTGCCTGTCTCCTTGGCGGCAGGGAGGGCCCCTCCCCCGAGCTCTGGTAATGGCACCAGAGCAGCCTCTGTTTGGAGTAGGGTTGCCAGCTCCAGATTAGGAAGTTACTGGAGATTTGGGGGCAGAGCCTGGGAAGGGTGGAGTTTGGGGAGGGATGCATCACATCCCTCAGCAGGGATGTGGTACCACAGAGTCCAGCCTCCAAAGCAGCCATTTTCTCCATGGGAATTGATCTGTTATCTGGAGATCAGTGGTAATTCCAGAAAATCTCCAGGCCCCACCTAGAGCTTGGCAACCCTAGCTTGGAAGGAACAGCAGCAGGGAAGTCCAGTCTGAAGTCTAGCTGAAAAGGGCATTGTTAGGCAGCAGTTCTTTTGTTCTGCTCCTATTTTGTGGCTTCATAGCCTACTGTTCCACTACCTAGATTCCTTTAGCCTGGAGTTTGAAAATATCTCTGGGGGGAAGAGGAGGATGTGGCCTGTGTCTCTCTCCGACAACTTCACTTTTTCTGGCAGGGAGTCATTCTCACAAGTGATCCCAGAAGTTGTGGTCCAGCAAAGGGCTGTGAGAATGGCCATCCCAGCCTCTCTAAGCTGTGGACTTGAGGGGTGAACCAGGCTGTTGGGTGCTGAGTAAAAGAAGAGCTCTTAGCGTTCCTCTTATGGCAAGTCTTGGGAGGTATTGCTATCAAATGAGTGCTGGGAGGACTCACACGTAAGCAGCCCTTGGCCGTCCCTTCCCATTGCCCCCCAGATGTGAACTCATTTGCTTACATTCTATGACTGCATACAATTCCGCCTGTGATGAAAAGTTCCAGCCCCAAACTCTTAGATTCACGTTCCTGTCTCTGTCCTCCACCTGGTGATTTCCTGCTGCTATGCTGCCTTTATTGATAAAAACAAATTATAAAATAGAACAAAATCTGCAAATTTATGCCTAATATTCTTGTCCTTTGTACTCCCCCCATAGGCATTTCTGGTTGAGTTGGAGCAGAATTCTGAGAAAGTTCACAAGGCAAAGGAATCTCTTTCTGGACTCCTGGAGAAATATCCTGGAACCCCGGAAGCCAGAACCTGGAAGAGTATGCTGGAAGACTTAAGTATGTTTCCCCATGATCTCTGGCCTCCAAAAATTCATCTAGGACTCATCAAGACTCAACCCCAGTTCTAAAGTCAACAGCAAAGCAAAGTTCCATTTAGCTGTGAAGTTCAGCAAATGGAGAGGGCAGGATCTTTATGAATGCTGAAGGAACTATAGAATAAGGGAAGGCCTGGGAAGCAGGACTAGGAAGTGCAAGGGCCCACTGGGGCACAACCCACCAGCAGGTTCTCCTTTGCAAGGCCTGTGGGAATGAATGGAAGATGCCAAAATAGCACAAGCATGCTCTTTTGCCTTTCTCATTTGCATATTTTCCCCTGTCCCTGGTGGGGGAGGTAAATACAAGTAAGCATCCACGTTCCTCAGGTTTCAGCCCCCATACCTGGTGTTTTGGAAGTTAAATCTCTTGAGTGGCAGGTGAGTGGATTTTTAGTTCAGTGCCAGTAAAGGGCACAAAGCTCCAGGGCACGGCTTCTGTGCCCTCCTTATCACACCCAAAACTGCCCATCCAGATAAGAAATGTCGCTGAATGTAAATTGTGGGTATTCAGTACAAGCAGTCGCGTTGTAGGTTTTCTGGAAATTTTTGTGCAGCTGCAAGTAGAATTGAAATGGTGATTCCACGTAGCATATAATATGGTGCTAGTTTCCCCATAAAAATGCCCATGAGCAAAATCCTACTGTTATATTTACGTGGGAATTAAGGTAACTTAATTCCCAGTTTGGTGTAGTGGTTAAGTGCGCGGACTCTAATGTGAGAGAACCAGGTTTGATTCCCCACTCCTCCACTTGTAGCTGCTGGATATCTCTCAGAGCTGTTCTCTCAAGGACAGTTCTGGAAAGAGCTTTCTCAGCCCCACCTACCTCACAGGGTGTCTGTTGTGGGAAGAGGAAGGGAAAGGAGTTTGTAAGCCACTCTGAGACTTCAAGGGAAGGGCGGGGTATAACTCCAATCGCCTCCTCCTCCTCCTCCTCCTCCTCCTCTTCTTCTTCCTAAATCCTGCTCCTTTTCCAGGTAGTGGGGTAGGAAGAGAAGAGGCTTTTTACTGCTTTTTTATTGCAGCCAATATGTTATTTTATTTTAAAATATATGTTTGTAATTGTTGGATCTTTTTCGTGGTCTCCGTGAAGTCACACACTTGGGTTTAAGCCAGTGCCATCAAGTAGCAACTGATTTATGGTGACCCCAGCAAGGGACTTCCAAGGCAAGTGAGAAGCAGAGGTGAATTGCCATTGCCTTCCTCTGCAGTCTTCCTCGATGGACTCCCATCCAAGCACTGACCCTTCTTAGCTTCTGAGATCTGACGAGATGGGGCTGTACCATGCTGCCTTCCCTCATAATTGCTGGTTACAATGATAGAAAAGAAAATTAATGGAAAATAGCTTCAGCTGCAAAGGGAAAGGCAGTAACTAAAGCCTCCTGTACCACCACTAAGAAAACAAGAACTTACTAGGGATCCTTTCAGGAATGCTGTGTAAGTGAGCAAGAAGTAATTGTGGCTGAGTTTTAAAACAAATAGAGGGAAGGAGGCAACGAGAGAGAGAGAGAGAGAGAGAGAGAGAGAGAGAGAGAGAGAGGAGAGAGAGAAAGAGAGAGAGAGAGAGAGAGAGAGAGAGAGAGAGAGAGAGAGAGAGAGAGATATATATATATATATATCCTGGGAAACTTCCCTAGTGCTTTGCAAGTGCTGCAGTTATCTGTGTTAACTTGGGGAAAAGCCACTTATCAAGTCTAAAAGGAACACAGAAAATACTGGTGCCTGGCTTCTCTGTAAAGGTACAAGCTATTTCTTTTCCTGACTGAAATGGCTAGCATGGAAGAAACCAAAGAAATTGTTCCAGCCAGCTTCCTCACACATTCTGCTTCTAGGAAGTCACAGCAGGCCAATCTGCACCATGTATATCAGGCAGAGAAGAATCTGAATGAAATGTAGGAGTGGGAGGGATTCTTCCCCCCCCCCCTTTTCAAATAGATTTTTATTAATTTTCCAAACGAACAAAAAGAATACAACATAAAAGGAGGGATTCTTAAGTAGGGTGTGAGAATAGGGGTATGACCAGTGCACAGGTGTTTCCTGTATGTAATGTTAGCAGGATATATGTTCGTGTGATTCCACTAGCTTGCAGAGGAGAATTTCTTGGGGGGGATTGTGCTGCTTATTTTTTCTGCAGAGTTTTGCAGATCTTTCCTCTCTATGCATTGGGTGGGTGGGGACTCCGCATTTGCCAGTGTAGGATCTCTGTGTGCGCGAGAGAGAGAGAGTGAATGTGTGTGTGCATGTGTGTAAGAGAGGGAGAGAGGGAAGGAGGGAGACCTATACTGGGCTGAATGTATGTCCTGAAGCCCAGACTGTTAGCCGAGAGTTCCCATCCTATGTTTTTAGCCATCCTTTTGAATACTGTCACTGTTTCCCTCCTGAGTCCCACTCCCATCTTCTCTTTGCATAGCTTTTGCCAGTCCTTGCGTGCATTTCTTCTGGGAATTATTCTGACTGGTCCTAAGGGTGTGTTGGAATTGCCTGAGTTTATGAAGACTTCCTGGTAGATGTAAATGGCAAAGATGTTTCCTATCACACTGCATTTCAGCCAAAACTGTGACTCGCTCTTTTGGTGAAAACTCATCACACACACACACCGTTTAACATTTGACAATTTGAATGTTTGTTAAACCAGAATTCATATTTGTAACAGAATAATTAAACTACTTGGTATGCAAAAGTCTCCCCTTAAACTCTCTGTTAAAACTTGCTTCTGTGTAGAATTGGTTCCATCTCTGTTTATTCAGAGGAGGCACTCCCTGTTTGCACAGGAGCTGGGCCAGTAATTGGAACTGCATGGAAACTTTCCAAGAACAGCCCTGCAAGCTACATTTAAAAGAGGTCTCTGCCCGCAGAGGCACGTGGTTTGCATGCAGAAGGTCTCCAGTTCAGTCCCCAGCATCTCAGTTTAAGGGATCTTGGTTAAAAATGAAAGGCAACATTGCATGAACATGCATTCTTGCATCCCTTTCCAGTAATTACACCTTTACTACAAACTTACATTGATTTGATGCCAGTCTGAACAATCATGGCTGGCCTGCAAAGGATTGTAGGAACTGTAGTTTTAGGAAGGGTCTGAAACTTCAGTGAGTCTTGCTCCATCTTCACAGAACAGGAGATTCTGTGGAGTAGGAATGACTACTTAAACCAGCTTAAGGCCATATCATAGACAGAACTTGGGTAGCTTCTAGAGCAAAGGTGCCCACTCTTTTTGAGCATGTGCGCACCTTTGGAATTCTGACACTAGGTGGTGGGTGCAATCACAAATGGCTGCCATACTAGGTGGAACCAACCACAAAATGTCAGGAATGAGGATAAGCATAACTTTAATAGTAACTGTTAAACCTTTCAGGGAAAAGCTCTGTTTAACAGGATGCCTTTTAAAATGAACACATTGTTTGAAAATATCGCATACACACAACTTACCTTCAGTTGCACAGTGAAGATCCTTGTGCTGTGGGAACAACTGCTGCCAAACAACTTTTAAAAAATTTACATAGCCAGTCTCCATTGGCCAGTTGGAAGCCCCACCCACTACCTAAAAACACTTGGTAGGCACCAGGAAAGGTTTTGCCAGGGGTCATGGCACCTATGGGCACCTCATTAGGAATCCCTGTTGTAGATATTGTAGGGAGTGTGGGTGGGCAATGCTGAACTTTCATTGCATCCAGGCAGGTGACAGCCTGCCAGTCATGGAATAGAGCGGCAGGGTCAGGCTTCTTTCTGAGCAACAGCATCATATGAGACCTGGTCAGAAGCTGCAGCAGGGATAAATTCACAAAGGTAGGCTGTGGGCATCCAATGGGGAAGAGATGAGAAGAGTCATTTAGATTCAAGATCCAGAGGCCCTGGCTTAGCCTTAGCGAATGAGTGCCACAGAAAGGTCATACTGGTGACATTACCAACCACTGTATTTCTGGCATTCAGATTCCAGGTGGGCCCACGTCAACCAAGTGACAGCGGAGCGGCAGGAGAAGTTGGAGAAGTCGGCCAGTGAGCTTGCTAGCTTCCAGGTCGCTGAAGGCCAGTTGCGGCCTTGGCTGATGGAGAAGGAGCTCATGATGAGTGTGTTGGGGCCACTGTCCATTGATCCCAACATGCTGAGCGCACAGAAACAGCAGGTTCAGGTGAGCTGTGAAAGGATACTTGTTTCTGCCTCCTTTTGAGGGTTGGGGACATGAAGGTAGATGCTGGTTTAGTTACCGGGGGGGGGGGGGGGGAGGCGCTGAACTTAAGCTGCTGAGTGGATCTGGCTGACAGCACAGGGCCACCCAATTCCATCCTCAACCCCTCCATGTTAACTGGCCTTATGCCAATTGGCCCTAAAATCCAGTTTCCAAGGGTGCGTTTAACTAAAAGTGGGTGAAGAAATGGGGGTCTTGAAACAGGAGCTGCCACAAGGGCCAGGCATCTGAGGTTGCACCACTGCCAGAGGAGGGGCCACCTTCTGCTGTACTTCAAGCCAGTGAGGGATATAGCAGTTTCCCGCTCAGCAGTGGTCAGGTGACCCCAGGGACCAGTAGGATTCCACTTGGACCGATAAAGTTTCCATCACTCTGAGCTGTTCTCAAAATGCCTCTTCCCTCTCTCCAGACCACCATCCTTGATGGGGAGAGAGAGAAACCCTGTTCAAAGATTCTTACTGCATTTTACCAGCCCTGTCTGCCTGCCTTTTGTACTTCTCCCCCTCCCTTTGGGGTTATGAATCATATCGCTAAGAAGCCTGTAGCCAGTCAGATACGCAGAGGAAGGGAAAGAAAAAACCCCATCTCTCAGCTAACACAATTGACTGTCACGCTGCGGTTTGTTTATATGATCGTGAACAGCAGCAGGACAAATAAGGCAGACGAGGGAAATGTTTTATGAATGCCATCATCATCACCGTTATTTTTTTTAAATAGCAGAAGTCCTGTTAGAAGGAGAGTCCAGCTTTTGCAGGCCTTCCTTGAAACTGCAGATGGTTGTGCCTTCTGTTGCACTCAGTGTTCCCTCTAAGCTGAGTTAGTGTGAGTTAGCTCACAGTTTTTTAGCCTCCAGCTCACACATTTTTGTCTTAGGTCAGGAAGGATGGGGCTCCAGAGCAAACTAATTTATGCAGTAGCCAAATCACCTGCTCACAACTTTAATGCCAGTAGCTCACAAAGTAGAATTCTTGCTCACAGGACTCCATAGCTTAGAGGGAGCATTGGCTGTCAACCAACTGAAATCCTTCTCACTGGCTCATGCCTTGGTTTGCTGTTTAATTTACTGGTCCATTGAATATCTGCATATCTTTACACCGCATTCAGAGTGCCAGAAGTGAGGGCCTAAGCCAAGGTGACAGTGTACCACTGAGCTGGCAACAATTGTTTTTTGTGCCACTTGCTGCTTAGATCACCAGTTTCCAAGGAACTTCTCAGTGAAAAAATCAGTCATAGTGCCCAAGAAGCCCTGAAAGGCAGCAAGCCCACCTTTGCCTATTTTCTCTGCATCATGTAGCTATTGGGGGTGGGGGGAGTATGCTCAGGGTCATGCTGTCTAGTCCTGTAAGGTAGCCAGTGCTGGGAGGTGGCATGAGGGTAAGTCCTTGGCCTTTGTGCCCTGTTGCTGGTCTCCTGGAGTAACTGGTTGGCCATTGTGTGAGATGGGAGGTTGGACTAGATCCAGCAGGGGCTTTTCTTATGCTCTTAAAACGGAGACCCAGAATGTGTCATGAACCAGAAATGCACCCTAGAATGTGCCTCAGAATCCTTTACAGTGATAGCGGTTCTTTGCCAGATGAATCATTGGGAACAGGGCTCTTCCCCAAAAGTAGGAACTGTTGAGCTTCAAAGGGTGGTGGTGGTTCCAATGCTACTGATGCAGATTGTGGTGTGGATCCATTCTGGTAATCAGCTTTGGCTTCTTTGTAGCCATTGCTGTGAATACTAAGCCAGCTCTCTGTGTTTGTCTCTCTTGCAGTTCATGCTGAATGAATTCGAAGCTCGCAAGCCCCAGCACGATCAGCTGAACAAGGCTGCTCAAGGAATCCTTGCCGGCTCGGGCGACACATCTCCATCCATCGACCGGATGCAGGAGGATCTCCAGGCTGTCAACCAGAAGTGGACTGAGCTCACTGAACGGCTCAACTCCCGTTCTAACCAAATCAACCAGGCTATTGTCAAGAGCACCCAGTACCAAGAACTGCTTCAGGGGTTGTCTGAAAAGGTGAAGGCCGCTGGGCAGCGCTTGAGTGGCCAGTCTGCCATTAGCACACAGCCAGAGGCTGTGAAGCAGCAGCTGGAAGAAATGAGTGAGATCCGGTCTGATTTGGGGCAGCTGGGAAAGGAGATCACTGAAGCTCAGGCCCTGTGTGTGGAGCTGTCTGTTCTCATTGGAGAAGAGTACCTGAAGGAGGAACTGAAGAAGCGCTTGGAGACTGTGGCCCTCCCTCTCAAAGGCTTGGAGGACTTGGCAGGTATGGAAGGAAGTTGTTCTCAGGCATAGGGTGATTAGTAGCCATAGTTTTAGGAAACCTATGGCCACATACGTTTCCTAAACTGCCTTATGTATACTGGACTGCCATTTTACTAGAAGGTTCTCATTTCCAATATCCAGATTATTAACTTGAGCATTCAATGGACAAAATGGCACAGGGGCTCTGCCTAACTCTTTACATTTATTTATTTTGTTTAAAACACTTCTCTGCCATCTTTAACCCAACCCAGGGTCCCCAAAGGTGGTGAACATTAAAACATCGCCAAATATCAAAACATTAAAACATTTCAGACATGGTAAAAGGCATTTAAAATACAAAAATATGAAGTATTTTAAACAAATAAAACCTAATATAAACACGTAAAATACACAAACAGGGAGGAGAGCCAATAAGAGTTAGTGAGGGAATGCCAAACAAAACCAAACTAAAATAAAAGTCTTACTCGCTAGTGGAAAACAACAATAGAGACAGACGAATCTCCCAGGGGAGAAATTTCCAAAGTTCTGGTGCCATGACTGAGAAAGCCCTTTCTCAGGTCGCCTTCTGTCTAGCCACAGATGGCCTCTGAAGATGACCAGAATTGTCATTTTTAACAGTGAATGTTTAACATTTTTAACTCAAACTGCATTTTTGATGCAGAGTTTTTACTGAAAGAAAAAATAACAAATAGCAAAGAAATAACAGTACAAATAAAGAAGAAAGACTATACACAATAAAAGGAGGCTTCCGATTTTCTCTGCAACGAATATAAGTATGATTATAAATATAAGTATGATTACTGTATGGCTACAAACAAAGGCTCTCTTTTTTCTATTGCATAAATTCCTTATTCATCAAAACCACAAATCATCAAGTCATTATTATCTGTTTCATGCAAAAAGTCTATAAGGAGTTTTCAATCAGCAATAAATAAGAAATGCATTTTTAACAGCATGTCCCCTCTTCCTCCATTTTCCAGGGGACCGAATGAACCATCTGCAGACAGCACTTGCAAGTTCTCAGCAGTTCCAGCAGATGTTTGATGAGCTCCATTCTTGGCTAGATGACAAACTGAGGCAGCAGGCACAGAGCAGCCCGATCTCGGCCAAGCTGGAGAGGCTGCAGTCTCAGATCCAGGAACAAGAAGACTTCCAGAAGAGCCTCAACCAACACAGCGGTTCCTACGAAATGATTGTGGCAGAGGGTGAATCTTTGCTGCTTTCTGTTCATCCTGAGAAGGAAAACGCCAATTTGCAAAGCCAGCTAGTGAACTTGAAAGCAACCTGGGAGGAGCTTAGCAAGCAAATCACCAACCGACATGCCAAGCTCAAAGACTGCTTGCAGAAGGCTCAAAAATACCAGCGTCATGTTGAGGACCTTTTCCCGTGGGTGGAGGATTGCAGGGCAAAGATGTCTGAGTTGGAAGTCACCCTTGATCTAGTGCAGCTAGAAGCCGCTCTCCTGAGGTCAAAGGCTCTGCTGAGCGATGTGGAGAAACGGCGCTCCCTTTTGGAGATGCTGAACAGTGCAGCTGACATCCTCATCAACGCATCGCAAATGGATGAAGATGACATTCGTGACGAGAAAGGGAAGATCAACCACAAGATGGATGCCATTACAGAAGAGCTCCACGCAAAGACAGAGTCCCTTGAAGAAATGTCACAAAGACTTAAGGAGTTCCAAGAAAGTTTTAGAAACATTGAGAAGAAGCTGGAAGGGACAAAGCACCAGCTGGAAATCTATGAGGCTCTAGGGCCTCAGGCCTGCAGCAATAAGAACCTGGAGAAGCTGAGAGCCCAACAAGAGGTTCTGCAGGCACTGGAACCCCAAGTGGATTATCTGAAGAACTTCACTAGAGGCCTCATAGAAGATGCTCCAGATGGATCAGACTCATCCCATCTGTTAAGTCAAGCTGAGGTTGCCCAGCAAGAATTCAAAATTGTCAAGGAGAAAGTCAATGAATGTTGCATACTGATGGAGGCCAAGCTCGAAGGGATTGGACAGTTTAATAACCATGTCCGGGAGATGTTCTCTCAGCTGGCTGATCTAGATGATGAGTTGGATTGCATGGGCCCCATTGGGAGAGACATAGATAGCCTCCAGTCCCAAGCAGAAGATGTCCATGAATTCTTGGCCAAACTTCAGATGCTGAAGATAGATCTCCAAGCTTCTGAAGAGAAATGCAGGCAGATGTTGGAGGATGAAGGGAGTCCTGATTTAATAGGGCTGAAACGTGAGGTAGAGACCTTAAGTAAGCAATGCAGCAAGTTGACTGAACGGGGCAGAACTCGCCTGGAGCAGGTGGAAATTACATTGGCTCGTGTCAAAGACTTCTACAACCAGCTGAAGGAACTGAACCACATGACGGCCACTGCAGAAGAGAACGAAGCATTGCAGTGGGTGGTCGGGACAGAAGTGGAGGCAATCAAACAGCAGCTTGAAGATTTCAAGGTAGGAGTCTTGTTGTCCTGTATGTAGCTGCATTTAAGCCATGCCTGCTCTTGTCCTCATTTCTTGCAGTCTTCTGTTTTTTCAAAGGCCATTTTGTTTCTAAAATTCTTATTTATGTAAAAGCTGCCAAGATAGGTCAGATGTTGGTTGCCTTGAAGAACATTTTGGCAGGGGGAAAATTGCACCTGTTGGATGATCTCTCGGTGAACTTTTCTTCTCAGTGCACTTCCGCATGATCACACAGCGAGACCTCTATATGCTTTACAATTTTAACTGTACCTGTGCTGCATGTTCTATGAATACAATTTTTTTTTGTTGTTGTTCAGTCGCACAGTCGAGTCCGACTCTTTGCGACCCCATGGACCACCTGTTTTCCATCATGCTCTGGAGTTTCCTTAATTTCGTGCCTGTTGCATTGATAACATTGTCTAACCATCTCATCCTTTGCCGTCCCCTTATTCTTTGACCTTCAATCTTTCCCAGCATCAGGGTCTTCTCCAGTGAGTGCTCCCTTCTCATTTGGTGGCCAAAGTATTTGAGCTTTAGCTTCAGTAGGGCTGAATGAATATAATACGTGTTTGATAAATGTATACATGTCTTATGGTACACCCCAGCTTTCTGACACCCAACTGTATGTATACATGCTGAACAGCTATGGTCCTTCCATTTCAAGGCATTCAGACCAATTAACTGTAGCAGGAAAGATCAATGAAAGAAGGAAAGGTAAACCCATTGAGCCCTACCTGTGGAGGACCCAAGACTGCCCTTGGCATCATTTCTGCTCTGACCTTGCTTCCTGCTACCAGTGATGGCAGATAATTCTGCCACATCACTGCCGAGGGTACTGTTGAATCATCCAACCATTCCTGTTACAGATATTACAGAATTCCCTGCCCTGGGCTGTACATTGCGCCTCTGCATGAGTCACACCCAAGTCAATGAATCATGCATAAATAACAGAGTAGGAGTTCATATTCTTATGCCTTCCCAAATTCAACCTTTTCAGCTGTCAGAGTGAAGCATGTCACCAATTTTAATTTTTCGGGGGGAGGGGGAGAGTATCTCAGATATTGGAGCTTTAGGAAGTCCCTGGCTCTTTAGCAGCTGTTACTGACTTTCTCGTGCTTGTCATTGGCTGTGAGCAGCTTTGGACATGCTATTTTTCTGTGTGATGAGAAAGATGGGAAATGTTAACTGCCTCTTTGAGGGTTAATCTTGTCTCTGTTGGACATCTAGTGCTTCCATTGTGCTAACTCAGTTAAGCGCAACATGTTAGTCTCCTTGTCTGGATGGCTTTGATTAGAAAACCAAGATCAACCCAACTTTGTCCTCATGTTGACCTGATGAATATGGAAATGTAGGAAAGGACTGGGACTGAGTGCTATAAGGACCCTCAAGCTGAGACATAGATAGCTGAGACACTTGAAATTTCCTTGCATGCCAGAACATTGGTTTGTCTTGCTCTCCAAGATCTTGGGCAGAGGAAGACTTTCCCCAGTACCTGTTACCTGAGATCCTAGAAGAACTGAAGCGGGGGTGGGGGGGGGGGGGGGGGGGAAGGGGAAAAAGACAGTCATCCTTGCCTACTGCTGTCTAAAGGGATTGGCAAACTGACTGGAGACTGTGAATGGTGCTTTGCTACTGACCAGCACTTTATTTGATGAAGGCTTCAAATGGGAGAAAAATACAATCTAAATGGTGGGTGGGTGACCGGTTCCCTGACTTTTCCAGCTCTTGTACTGTCCCTCTGTGTTCCCGGCTCCCGGCTCCCCAGCCAATCAGAACCAGTTATGTGCGTTATGCATATGTTTGCTTATTTTGCATAATGTGCTCTGTTTCCAGAATCCAGGTTTTCAAAAAAAAAAAAAAAAAACTGCAGAGAGGAGGAAGGGGGGCATGTTATCGAACAAGTGAGCTGTAGAGGTAGGAACCAAAAAATATAAAGCAAGGCACAGAAGACTCTGGCAAGCATTTCCCACTGCTGGAGCTTCTCTTGAGCATATCTCTAGCTTCTGAGATTTCATCAGGCACATTTGCAAAGACTCTATAATTACTAGAAATTAGATTTGCTGGAATACGTGACAGAGTCAGCCTGTCTCCAGTGTAGCAGTTCTGCAAATGCAAACAGAAAGGATATGCGAGGGATGGGGAAGGATAGCTAAATTGTGTACTTATTCTACTGAGCCAGGGTTTGCAATCTCCATGATAATAATTGTGTGCCATCAAGTTGCAGCCGACTCACGGTGATCCCAGGACCATGGGGGTGTTCAAGGCAAAAGAGTACCAGAGGTTGACTGCCTCTGCACAGCAACCCCAGTCTTCCACACTGGTCTCCCATATAAGTACTAACCATGGCTGACCCTGTGTAGCTTCCAAGTTGAGAATAGGCTAGGTTGTGCTATCAGACTGCTGGTGTTTTTTGTTTTGCTGTCCATTCACAGCCAACTTATGGTGACCCCATAGGGTTTTCAAGGCAAGAGACGTTCAGAGGTGGTTTACCACTGCTTACCTCTGGGTAGAGACCCTAATATTTCTTGGTGGTTTCCCATCCAAATACTGACCAGGGCCAGTCCTGCTTAGCTTCTGAGATCTGGACTATCCAGGTCAGAGCATCAGGCTTCTAGAGATGTCTGTATATTCCTATTTCTCCATATCTATTTAAATTTTAGCACTGTAGCACTGAATAAAAATGCTAATGTCCCTTTCTTTTGAACATATGCAGCTTCTTTATGTTGAGTCAGACCACTGGTCCCTCCAACTGTCCAAGATCTCAAGCAGAGAAATCTCCCCCCCCCCCCAAACACCAGAGATCCTTTAAGAGTAGATAGCTTGACGCCACTGTACACACACAGCAGGGGACTAAACTTTGGGGCCTTCAGCCTGCAAAGCAGGAACTCTGCATGGGAGCCTCTGCACCTTCCCTAATCCTGGCGTGGGAGAGATCAGCAGGGAGACGTTAAGCTATGATCCTTGAACTGGACAGGAAAGAGGGAAATGTCTCCCTGAAGCTTGAAATCCAAAGCTGGATTTGCCAGTGTGTTCCTTATAGAGGCTTGGGGGAGGAGAGGAAGTGTAGAGACTGCCATGAGCACCAGAAGCTTCTAGTCCCCGAAGTTGCGACTTCTTTAACAGCCTTCTTATGTTACAGGAGGGTGGCCAGGGGGGATCCCTCGGCCTCTGTTTTGCCGAGCTCACAGGAAGCTAAAACAATGTCAGGAAAGAATCTGTCTCCGTCAGCTGGACTTTCACCACAGGGGTTTAGTGCCTGGAAACCTTGGCGGGGTCTTCTCCTGGGGTAGCATGCTCTGCCAGGACGTTCTTGCACTTTGTTTTCACAGTGCTTGAGAGTGCTTGCGTCCCCCTCCTCAATGCTGAGCATGCTGTGTGGGCAGGCTGGGTTTATCTTGGCTCCTTTCCCCCTCATTCGGCACCTCATAAACACAGCTTAAAAGTCTGCCTTTTATCTCCTGCCATGGTGGGTTCCCCTATTGCTGTTTTCTTCTTCTTTTTTATAATGGGAATATAATGAGGTTATGTATGGGCAATAGAAGCCTTTGCGCTTGCTGGCAGCTGCTGTTGTTGCTGTGACCTTCTCTTTCGTTGCCCCTGTTCCTGTAGAGGCTGGAAAAAAAGACTTGCAAATGGAGAAGAGAAGGGGAAAAAGACAGCTTTGAGACAAGTTGCAGTTTTTTCCCGATCTATCAAAATAGCCGTTTTGTGTCTCTGCGCCTTGGGATGAAGCAGGTGCTTAGTGGGTGGTGTGAGCAATGCACAGTCTTTGGAGTAGCATTCCTCCTTGGCCTCCGTCCACTTGCTAGGCTGTTCTTCTGCTCCCAGAGAGAATCTCTTTGTATCTTTGGGGGGCTTATAAATCCAGCAGTATCTGCCTTTGCTTATGCTCCGTGGCAGGTATAGCATAATCCATCTTTCTGCAATGGTGTTTTATGGTGTCTCTTCTTCTTAAGGCTGTGAGGCGGCTGCCTGGAATTTTCTGCATCACCTTCAAACTTCTGGGCCTTAGTTTTTGTCCCTTACCTTTAAAAAGTGTACCTTACTAGACTGGGGGGGGGGCACTGAATTACCATAAAAATTATTCACACAAGACCTTCAGTTGCATTGAGCATGCCACCAGCTGCCAAAAAACCCCCCTGTCAACAAAACTCCCAGTTTATTAAGCATTTCATTTGGCTGGAACAGTAACTGAATAAAATAGCAGCAATGGCACTAAGGAGCCATTTTGTTTAATTAAGAAAAATGATTTTGTCAAGTTTAGCCTGCATGCTCATTTAGTTTCCTTCAATGCAACTGGAAGTAAAAATGACCCAAACACCACAAACCTGACATCTTAGTTTACAAAATAATTACATGGGTGGGGGGAGGACATGAAACACCAGAGAGGACTTGGGCTCATTATGGTTGAGGTGTATACCATGGACCACCAAAAAGACAAATAATTGGGCTCTACATCAGATCAAGCCTGTACTCTCCTTAGAAGCTAAAATGACCAAACTGAGGTTATTGTACTGTGGTCACATTATGAGAAGATAAGAGGCACTGGAAAAGATAATGCTAGGAAAATTCAAAGGCAGTAGGAAAAGTGGAAGACCCACACGAAGAAGAAGAAGAGATTGGATTTATACCCTGCCCTTCATTACCCAAAGGAGTCTCAGAGCGGCTTACAAACTCCTTTCCCTTCCCCTCCCCACAGCAGACACCCTGTGAGGTAGGTGGGGCTGAGAGAGCTCTGACAGAAACTGCTCTTTTTCAAGGACAGCTGTGCCAGAGCTTGTGACTGACCCAAGGTCACATCAGCAGGTGCAAGTGGAGGCGTGGGGAATCAAACCCGGTTCTCCCAGATTAGAGTCCGCGCACTTAACCACTACACCAAACTGGTGTAGTGCCCCAATCAAGGAAACCACGGCCCTCAGGTTGCAAGACCTGAAGAAGACTGTTAATGATAGGCCATTTTAGAGGTCATTAATTCATGGGGTCACCATAAG